GCTTATTTTCTCAACTGAACGGCAATCATAGCTATACTTTTCTTCCCCTTAAAAACCTATGTAATCTCCACTATTAAGCCCATGAATTTATCCTTCATTCACTCCAAACCGTTTAAATGCTCACTACAGATCTAGAAAAATATCTGTATTACTAAACTCTGAAACAATGAGTTAACATTTGTTGTAGGCTCCCACTGCATCAATTTAGGTATCAGGGAGGCACAATCTGGCCAGATTAGTTCCTTCTATAAACATTTCTTCCTTTCATATGCCACTGCTAAGATTCTGGCATCCTTTTTCTTTGTTGCCAGTTTGGCATCCCATCTAATAGCATATGTTGAAGACTTTAATGCAATCTTTATGAATAAAAAGTCTAATGGGCAACCTCTCCAGGCCAATATTTGCTACCCAAAGCTTCTTGGACTGATTCATAACATCATCAAATTATCACTGGATGAAAAATTATGCCCAGACAGCAGCCCCTTGATCTCCACAACAAAAAACAAATGGCATTAAGCATTTGGGTAGGACTAGCTCACGTTTAGACAAGGAGACCTCCCTATTGCATCATCAAGTAGATCAATACTTCATCCAACAAGAATATATAGCAAAAGAGGTTTTGTTTGATGTTTCGGAAAGGTATAATCCATAGCATTAACATTACATTTATGTTGGCTAGTGAATCTCATGTCATTCTGAAAACTCTGCCTACAAAAATTTATATATTTGATTTTGAGCGTCTAGTGCAAACCCCTCCATAATACTTTAATAAATCCGAGTGAATTATCTCCATTTTATATTGAGAGATAATGATATATCATGAAAATAAAATACATTTGTTGCAAAATGTATAAGATAAATTAAAGTTAATTTAATTTAGAACTATCTTGGCAATTACATGTATTGAGTTCATAGTAATGAAATTAGATTCTTGGATGTATTTTATTTGTATCATCAACATAATAATGTCCTTATCATTCCAATAAAGTTTTATATCTTGCTAGTTATCTCTTTGCATACCTGTCAAATTTGTTTTTATCACATTGCATACAAAAAATTTAACATATCATCAAGACATTGACACTCAAAAAAAAGGTAATGGTATTTAGACCTAAGACTAGAATCTATAAATATTATATTTGATAAAATTATAGCTCATCAAAATAATTCTCTATGATAAGAACAAAAAATATGATGGGAAAAATTCTTAGGCAGTGTTTTGTAGCATTATTTAAAAAGGATTTAGCCATGAATTTAGCATAAATCCAGCCAAATAATAAAAAAAAAAATTTAATCCAATGCTCCGTTAAATCAAAAATCTTTGAAATCCATCTTTTCTTCTTGCGTTCCATCTCTTTTACAATGTAAATCCGGATTTAGTAAATCCGATTGTGAGACGGATTTAAAAATTTCTTGTTGTCGTCGCTCAAGAGTTTATTTCCGTCAAACTGAAGATCGGATTTACAGGATTTGATAAATCATATTCAACATAAATTCAAACTAGAACAGGATTTGATAAATCATATTCAACATAAATTCAATTTGCAGCCGAACAGCGCCATAGGGTAGATCTAAAGCATTTGTGATAAGTATCTCATATATTACTAGCAAAGTAGAAAGCCTCAAGCAACCATAATTCAATTTATGATATTATTGATGAGAGCACTTTTAATTGTCTTAGTCATGTCAAAGCACTTGCCTTAATATCACCTATGGTCTTTTCTCCAAAAATATCTAAGCCCATAGAGATGTCGTATGTGCTGGATCCACTAAATTCCCTTGCTAAAAAGACTAGTCATATTAAGGATATAAAAAACCATAAGCTCCTTTACAACCGCAAAATAAAAGAAGATCTCCCTTACAAGATGATTTTTTATTTTAAATTTGATATGCACTAAAAAAAAAATTATTTTAATCATTCATCAATCTCGGAGAATTTCGAAGAATAACATTTCATGTTCAAATTCAAGACCACCCAGGGCCCTCATGTCATCAAGCTTATAGTCAAACAGACTATCTCAACAAAGGCTAGCCCAATGAAGCCAAAATTTGTTAGATCTGAGTCCGATCAAGCCCAAATCAAGTCGTTTAAGTGCAATTGGAGGCTTTGGAAGAGTAATTGAATGATCAAATTGAATCCAAATATGACAAGTTTATGGTTAAATCGAGTGAATGATCAAATTGAATCCAAATATGACAAGTTTATAGTTAAATTGAGCGTCTTGTCGAGCCGAATCCAACGAGCCCAAGGTCACTCGATTCTAAAATCATTAAAGCACTTAAATGCTCATAGTCAAACAGACCATCTCGATAAAGGTGAGCCCAATGAAGCCAAAATTGGATTGATTTGAGTTTGATCAATCCCAAATCAAGTCGTTTAAGCGTAATTGGAGGCTTTAGACGGTCAATTGAATGGTCAAACGGATTTCAAATCTGACAAATTTATAGTCAAATCGAACATCTGGTCAAGTCAAATCCAAAAAGCCGTAAATTATTTGATTCAAACATTATTAAGACACTTAAATGCTCATAGAGCACCATCCAATCAAGAGGATCGATATGGGTCTTCTAATGAAGCGACCCAGATTCATGTGATATTTACCTAGGATATCACTCACAAAATCAATGAAAATACCTCACACTCTTCATGAAAGAAGACCTAAGCCCTAGACCTGGAGGAGAAAGCTGAGGACCTCCAAACTCTTGAGGATTCCTGAGCTCCACCACAGCTAAACCACTGTTGACCGGCTCCACCACTACCACACCACCGTTGTCTGGTCGTCAACATCGAGCTGCCATCCCCGCCAGACCACAAATGTAGCTTCCTGACTATTGTCGACCGGCCGCCGTAGTTGAGTTGTCGCCACTACCGGGCAACACTGCCCAGTTATCGCCTTTGATTTGTCGACATTGTCGTACCACCATCGCCACTGCTCGGTTGC